AAAAGTGAATATAAGGACAAATAATAATATTTTATCTAAATTATATTTATTGTCATTCCTAAAATAACCATATTTAGCACGTTTCTTCTATCAAAGTGTAAAAGCTGAAAAATTAATATAAACTACACTATACAAGTTTCAACAACTGGAAGCTTTAATGAAATGAAAAAGGTGAGTGGAAAGATCATAACTGATAATAATTAAATTTGTGAAATGAATATTAAAATCCAAGTATGCGTAGTGTGTTAAAAATAACATTACTATTGATATTTCGGGAGCAATTGGTCCCAACTCATTAAGAAACATGTTATATTATTCTTATCTTATCTGAATTACAGAGTTAAAATTGGTAAGTTAAATAAATAATTGCAAGGGATTCTACTGGGAAGATAATTTTTCCATTATATTAAATATTACTCTCACAATAAAATGTTTAAGATCATAACGTTTTATAAAATTAACGTCTTTGCAAGTCTATAAATTATATATAACTATTTTTTTCACATTGTATTGATATTATGAAATTGGTATAAATTTAATAAAATTTAAAAATTTAAAATAAACAATGTAATTATTAATTATAATATTATTTTATATTAAACAGGATTAAATAAAGAGATATAATTCTTAAATATTTAAGATTTAAATTAAATTTAAGTTGAAAATTCAGATGTTCGATATGAAAAAATTGCATGACACAATTGTATCTCTCTTTTTCTCTCATTATTATACAAATCTAAAGGTACAATACTTACTCCTAACATTGTTTGTGCTCTATTATTTCTTCTACAAAATTCAAAGAAGGCGTCATTTTTCTTTTCCCAAAATCTATTTCTTTTTGTTTTATAACCTCATATAATTTTTTTTAAGAGCTCTTTCTATCTTTATATTTTTCTTCCAACAGTCTAATTTATATGATCTAAAGGTGCAATGATTTTTTATTATTATTTTTATATTTTTATTTTATTATTAATATTATTTATTATAATAACTTTCTTAGTAAGTTTCAAATATTGCAACAAGATGCATTTAATTAATATATTTGTATTAGAGAAAATTCACTTTACTCCTTTGTATGCTCTGGTTATGTGTAATTTAAACTCTAACTTTTAAAAGTATATAACACAATACTCTATGTACTTACCAACGTGTGTGAAAAAGTCCTTTCATTACTAAAAAGTCTAATAATACTTATAAATCTCTAATATCCTCTCTCTCTCTTTACAACTACAAACAACTTTCTTCTTCATCTTCTTCTTCACCAACAATGGGAGCTTTTTTGCTAATGAAGTGTTGTTTGGTTTAAAGATGAACAAATATGACACAATTTTATGGATGAAGCTTCAAAAGTGAGGCTTAGTGAATGTGTATCTAAAATAGTAAAAAATTGAAGTCTTTAACTAGGACACCTATCTAAACGTTACTTCTCTACTCAAAGATGGACTTAATGGTATTTTCATATATTATATTTAGTAAAAGGCTATTTTACCCCCTACATGTTTACACATTTGTAATTTAGACCTGGACATTTGAAAGTGTGCAATATAACATCCTATAGTGACCAAAATGTTTAAACAAGTCCTACTAATGAGACATCTAATTTCATTGTTAACGTGCATATACTTTTTACGTGGGTAAATAATTTTATAAAAGTAATCATAAAATATCAATTTTTTTGCCAAAAATTTGATGAAAAAACATAAGACGTTTGGAAGAAGAAAAATTCAAAGAAGACAAAGTAAGAAGATGTGTGAAGAAGAAGACTAGCAAAGAAGGAAAAAAAAAAAACGAACAAAGATTCATGAAACTCTAATATGTATTTTGCATCTCTTTCTCTGTTAAAACAAATTAGGGCAAAAAATGAAAATATTAATAAAGAAGAAAAATTTAAGATAACTAAATTAAACTTTTAAAAAATGTATTGTTTTAATACAAAGCATCTTCATCAGATGCATTAGGTATGAGTAAAATGTCACTACCTTCATAGTCACACACACAGTTATCATCTTAATTTGAGCCAATATAACATGTCAACATCCTCGTTATCATGATATTCAATAAAGTCACATAGTTCTAATCTCCTTAATACTTTAGTTATTTTTCCTTTTCCTTTACTATCTGCTCTTTTTTTATGTACTTCCTATTTTTCCTCCTCCTTCAACAAGCTTTTCAACTCCTACAACAACCTCTCTAGGCCCTGCAATAGCCCTTACATTCCCTTAAGGCCCTGCAACAACCTCTTTAGTTCCTACATTAACATTTGCATAATCCACCACTATAACAATCCTTACATCCACAATCTCCATTTCAACTGCCATTACATATGTTTTCAGTTCAAGATCCTTTTTATACTCCAATGTATAAATAATTTTCAATACATCTTTATCACCTACTAACTCTTTTAAACACTCAGAAGTTTCCTTCTTAAACTTTTATACAAATTTCAATCATTCATTATATTCAAAACTCTTCACATGTGCATATAGATGAGCAGTTAATAGATAATCAATATCAAGTTCTCCAAACTCTTCATGAACACCACTAACATAACTCATTGTAGGTGTAGTATGAAATACACCTTTGTAAATGCATGTAACAATAGATATACCTACAACTCATTGATTATTTGTGGTTAATTATTTCTTCTACAAAATTTCCAAAAAAAAAGCAATCTTTTTTCTTTTCTTTTTTTTTCTCACATTAATAAATAATCATCTTCCAACAGCTTTTTCTTTTATTTTTTTAACTTTTTCTCTTAACATTATACAGATTGAAAAGTACATTAATTTTCGTACTTTATTATTTTTTTCTTTTACAAAATTTAGAAAGGCGTTATTTCTCTTTCATTAATTTTTAACTTTTTTTTCTACACATATTAGATAACTATCTTTTAAGAACTCTTTCTATCCTTTTGTATATATATTTTTTTCAACATTTTAATGTACAATATTTATTTTTTTTGTTATTATTTTGATATTTTTTAATTAATATTATATGTTATGATAACATTCTTTAATAAATTTCTAATATGTTATAATCAAAACTCCTTGCTACAAAATCTATTCAATCTCTCAGACTTTTAAATCATCCAACGTAACCAATCATATATTGTTATTGTTTTTTTTTTTTTTAATTATAGTGATAGTGGAAAGAGATTTTTTTTTTCTGTTCAGGTTGAAATAAATAAATATTATTTTTTCTATTTTATTAAACCCTTTTTATGCTCTTCAAAATTTTCCAGCATTATAATCAATTTTTTTTAATTATAAAAAAGTAAATAGTCAATACCATCACAAGATTCAAAGTCGATTATTAATGAGTGGACACTGCTCAATGTGCTCATCAATGTGAAACACATTCCAACTTCCAATATTTTACTCTTCGCTCTGCTAATTTGTTTCTCTTTTAATATTCTTGTGTTTTCAAAAACTTTGGTAACTGACTTTTCAATTTATAATATTTATGCATTTATTATAGTGTTATAATTTATTAGATAGTTATTTTATTACTCTTTTTTTTCATCTTTAACTATTAATTTTAAACTTTAAATTTAGAATCTTAAAAAATCCAGTCACCCTTATTAATCAATCACAGTTTTTATTTTGTAAAATCCTCTTCTTAAATATCTCATTTTTGGTTTTTTCACTAATCATAAATTCAGCCCACCTTTGTTCAATTTTTTCCCTTTTTATTACCATTTACTTTCAATTATTTAATTTATTTATCATTAACTTAAAAAAAATTTCGTATTCAAAACACTACATGTGTTTATTTAATTATTCTTTTTAATTTATGATTCTATTATAATTAAATTTTATATTATAAAACTTTCTCAATATCAAATATATGAAGATAAATATTTATCGTATATTTTAATTAAAATGTTACTTAAAATTATATGAATATTTAAAATATAAAGGTCAATACATAATATAAGGATAGAAGTTTTGTATAAAAGTATATTAATATACAAATTATAGGAATTCATATGAATAAAATGTTATGGAATTAAATAATAAAGTGTCATTAATAAATAAAAAGAAATTATTTAAAACATAGTACAACTTAATATTAGTGAAAAACATATAAAACTATTCTAATTAACTTTTATATAAAATTTTCACTTTTATAATATTTTCTCTTATATTTTAATAAATATATTTTTTAATTGTCTCATTTACAATAATCATTAATAATAATGTTGGTTACAAATGAATTATATTTTTATGTTTAATTTTCTTGCACAATTATATGTTACCCATTAAATGTTGCCATAGATTATGATGATATATCTACAACTATACGACTAATGTGATTTATCCCAAAATTGTTAATGTGATATGAATGTATATTTTAAAATAATATTAATATTTAATTAACAATAACTACCTTTTATTTAGTTAGTTTAGTATTGTTCTCAATAGATTATTTAGTTTTATTGATGATAAAATTTATTTAATAAATAAATAATAATTTAGTCTACATTTTGACTATTAAAATGTAATTCATGTTATCGTTTATTAAAAATCTTGTAAGAAAGCCGTATTGATAGCAAATAAACTAGAATAAAAGAAAGCCGTACTGTGGGACCAAACCAACAGCACAATTCGTTCTGCCAAACTAAGGAGAGATAAAAGAAGTTTGAAATTCCTGTCGGAAGTCGGTGCCGTGACTCTGCTACTTTTACTTTACAACAGTGAGGTAGGTGACCTATTCATAAGTTTCGTCGTTTCATCTAGTAAATACTAAGAGTAAAACATTGACCTGTCAACGTGTCTGTTTTAATAAAATAATATTATAAATAAAATCAAACGTCTGATATTAGGCCAGGTGGAGAAAGATAAGAGGATGTACCATATAGCATTAAATTGAGTACAACTGCCAACAAACAAAAGGGTGCCACGTGCATTCCGTCTCTCACCATTTATGTTCCCACCTGCCACATGGCTCCTCTCTCACGTACGTTCTATATAAAGCCCCCACAACCATTCAGGAAGTGCAAGGGAAGTAAGTGAATACAATTCCACTCTCCACAAAACACATTATCTCTGCCACTACTAGTTCCTCTGAGAAGCAATGGCAAGCCTAAGGATTGCATGTGTGGTTGCAATCATCTGCATGGTTGTAGCGAGTGCACCCATGGGAGAGGCCACAATCACATGCGGGCAAGTGACTTCGGCCTTAGCGCCATGCATCTTATACCTTCAAAAAGGTGGAGCACCCTCAGCGGGGTGCTGCAATGGTGTGAGAAGTCTCAACGCCGCTGCACAAACCACCCCAGACCGCCAAGCCGCGTGCAATTGTATCAAAAGCGCCGCAGGTAGTATTTCTGGTTTCAATGCCGCCAACGCTGCTGCACTCCCAGCCAAATGTAACGTCAACATCCCCTACAAGATCAGCACCTCCACCAACTGTGCCACGTATACATCTTTAACTCCCTCCACTTTTCTCACTCTTCTTTTACCCTTTTAACATGTCTTCATAATACGCTTGGGAGCACGGTTAACCACACACTCTCTCACTCTTATTAAAAATTATTATTTTAATGAATTTATATATATAATTTTTTTGTTTAAATAAAATTTTAGTTATCTGACTTATTTTGTTTGATGATTTTTGCATTATTGCAGCATCAAGTTCTGAAGAGTGGATCTATGGTGACGAAGAAGCGACATGCATGGCAACTTTTCGATGGCAGGATACCAGATATGACAGTGTTTTAGCATTAGCTAATTAATGAAAATAAAGGGAGGGTGATGAGGGCTCCAGTTATGCGAGTCTCTTCTATCAGCTTGTCCCGTAGTTGTTTCAGACTTTGGTTATTCAGTTATTGTGTCGATGAAATTTGTCTTTGTTGGTTGGTGCATGTAATAATGAGATATATATATATAGTAATTTTCCTTACTGCTGTAATTTTCTTTTTCTAATTATCACAAATGTCTTTTATTTTCTTCACGTCTTAATTTATGTTGAGCATTCGAAATCGTTTCTACCCAGAATCACCCAGTCAAATAAATTTTCATTTAAAATTTGATTAGACGATTTGACCCAAGTTGATGACGAGGACCTCGGTCATTTGCATTTTTTTCACAACTATTTAGGATCTTATTTACAAAATTACACTAGTATACTAATTATAAGTAAAATAAAAATCCTAAATATTATGCAATGAGAGCCTAATTTAAATTATAATTATTGCACAGCATGCAGTTTGATTTTAATATATATAGTGAATTCAATTTCGATGGAGGAATAATATGTATAACTAAAGTAGATTCAATCATTTTATAATTTGAGTAAAATATATTTTTTAAAAATTAAAGCATGTTTAAATTTAAAAAATAGTACTTGTATGACAATTTATAATTATATTTGCTTAAAAAATAATATATTTATAGATTATATTTAATTATAAAATAAGAGAATGACGGGTTTTTGCATATGACTAAAATATTAAAGTAATAGTGAGAAACTTTTTTTTGTTAAAATGTCAATTTATATTCACCCTTCTCCCCATTTATTTTTCTTAAATTTTCGTTTACTCATTCTCACAGCTTGTTTGGATATTAGTAAGAGAGAATGATTTAATACCAACTTAGTGTCGTCAAAGCTCAATAATAAATGTTACGGATAAAAAAAAGGCTCTTCAATTAAGAGTAATCGATTCTTGTCATAATGATATAGTGTCTCTTAAAAAATAATTAAATATCTGTTTCAACAAAAGCACCATAATGACTGTCTTTTCTTAATTAATATTGATGGTGAATCTTTATTGTAATTGATAAGTATTTAAAGTTGTCATTTAACTAAAGACATTTATGCTATCCAGATGTAAAATCAGAAAAATTAATTAATGTCTAATCCGTCTGATAATTTGGTTGGTTAACTGTGTTTATTGGAGAGAAGCAATATCAGCCACATTGAGGCTTTCTCTAGGTTGAAAAGAAGAAAAATTGGAGGAAGGGAGGAGCATGTGGTGAAAGAGAGATAAGAAAAAAATAGAAGAGTGAAAGTACAATAATTTTGTTAGAATTTGGAAGAGAAAGAAAAATGTGTCATGAAAGTGTGATAAAATAAAGAAGAAAAAATATAAAATAATTTTTAGAGTTTAAAAGAAGAGAAAGACATCTCATGAACACGTGGACGAGAGATAAAAGAAAGTAACTTAAAAAAAATTACTGAAATATATTATATTTTTATTATAATTTATAAAAAAATAACATTATTTTTTAAATAAAATAAATATTTTTAAAAAATATTTAAATTATTTTTATAAATTAAGTAATAATTAAAAATTAGAAAATTAGTTTACTAAATTTACCTTTGTTATACCTAAAAGAACTATAGTCTCAGCTCCCAAACTAGAGGCGTACGCCTTCTTCCTACAGTGTACAAGACATCTGGTCTGGTGGGGATATGTTCGTAACTTGCTTATCCGCTAACCTATTGGAGTAAGAAGATAATTTTAACAGGTTTATATTTTTAAAAAATAATTTAATACATTTTGAGGATAAAATTAAATTATATTTTGAGTCAATTTAATTTGGTTCAATGTCTAATATATTTTAATTAAATATATATTAATAATAAGACTATTTATCGTAATTTATAATGTTTTATATAATCAAATATTATATTTATACTTATATTAAAATTTATATCATTTATGAAAAAAACATTAAATTGACTCAATCTTATCTCATGGGGAGTTGGAATCGGATCTAATCAATAGCCCTATAAAAATTTTGTATACGACGAAGAGAACTGCAAACCCATAACGCTGATCCCACTAACAACCGCTTTCTGTCAAGTTCCAGCTCACACTGCTGCCAATGTGATGACAATTAATGTGTTATGGTGTTCTGTCGTACCTTTGTGTGGAACTCTAATGTGTTTTAATTTTCAAAATTTTAGATTATATTATTTAAATTTTTATTTTAAAAATATTTTATTTAGATTAAGTAATTAACTATTTACATTTTTAAAAATAAATTTTTATATTTAATAAATTTAATTAAAATATAAAATTAAATTATTAAATTTATTATTATCAAATAAAAATATGAATGAAATACACAATAAATAAATAAATAAATTTAAAATTTTATTCTTTTTTAAAGATTGATAATTTTTTATTTTAGTTAATTAAAAGTCTCCATTAAAATTCTTAAAAATTTAAATTATTTAAAATTTAATATCCAAACAACAAATATTAATATATATATATATATATATATTGTAATTTTTTAAAAATAAATTATTCACTTAAAATATTTCATTTAAACAAACTTTAAAAATATTTACATGATTCAGGAATTTGGATAATATGGTTTCTATGATTAATATTATATTGTGTATATAAATTTTATAATTTATAAAAAAAAAACCTCATGAAATGTGAATGACTAAAGTTACATCATTTTTAGCTGTCTAAAAATTTCTATTATCTTCTCTTTTAGTAGGATAAAGGGCAAAATAAAAGACTCGTCATGTCATTGAGTTTATTAAATTAGGTTGAGTTTTAATATTATAAATTTGTAATTTAATTTGTACTTATCTATTCAAATTTTTTTTTATAGGAAAAATATATATTATTAGATAGAGTTCAAGGGAACTCAAAACCCATATACACAGAAAAAAAAATTACTAACTCAGAGAAATAAAAAGCAAAAATATACTTATATAAAGTTAAGACGGATACAATTTCGTGGATTCAAATATCAATCAGCTAACAAAATAGCTTCTCCCTTACTAACAAGTGATAGTCATTTCTAGGACCTCAGAATAATAGAATCTACAACTTCCCTATCATCCAAAACACCATTGAAAAATACAATTTTATTTCTATGTAACCACAAAGACTACACTTACTTATCCAAACAATTAATAAGCATATCCTTTCTCTTTTACTACAGTCAACACCAACCCAAGAAAGCAAGTGAGTCGATATATCTGAAGGCAAAACCAGTGAGAATCCAAGCTAACGCGCAGTAAAGTACCAGATTTGAGATGAAACTGAACACGTTAAAAATAAATGAGTTGTAAGTTCCTCCAAACTATGACAAAAGCAACAAGTTATATCATCAATTTGAACACCTCAATCAATCAGCAAACCCTTACAAGGAAGTGCATTCAGCAACAATTGCCAGAAAATACCAGACACTTAAGAGGGATCTTTCCTCTCCATAGCCTTTGCAAGACATCTGCTGTACACTGATCTACACTATTAGGACCACCAAAAAGTTTAAATAGCCATGAATACGCAGATTATTCTGAATAACAACCTAAAGAATCTTCCCTCCAGACCCATTTATCTTCTTTTAGTAACTTAATAAAAACTTCATCCACAAACTCCAACAAAAGATTAGAACTTGAGATCTCATGTTGAAAGAGTCCTCTTCGCCAACTAACATCCCAAACTCACCTAGTGCCATCATGAAAACCGTTCTCCAATACACATGATTCAGCATTCTTCGCCACCGCAAACAATCGGAGAAATGCTTCACACAATTGCATCCCGCCTACCCACTTATCTATCCAAAAAAGAGTGTGTAAACCTGCACCCACATTCCTATCAAACTTCTCATCCAGCCAAGAATTCTCTTGATGAATAACCTCCATCAAATCACGCTACCACAAAGAACATCTGTTGTGGACTGATGGATGTTGAATAGAAGAAGCTAATCTTCCATATCTAGATTCTAACACCCGCACCCACAATAAACTAGAACAATTAACACTTCGCCACAACCATTTACCAAGAAGTGCTCAGTTAAATCATTGCACATTCCTAATGCCCAAGCCACCATTCTTCCGGTGTCTACATACCGTTTCCCATTTCACCTAGGAGATTTTAGATCCATCCTTAACACCCTTCCATAAAAAATTTCATTAGATAGTGACAATCTCCTTTATCACCGACTTCGGCACCTTAAAAAAGGATAACGAGTGCAATGACATAGAATTAAGAACTGCATTAATCAAAGTCACCCTGCCTCCAATCGATAAATACTTATGCTTCCATGATGCTAACCTCTTTTTAAGGGCATCTAACATACCCTTCCATGAACTAGGCTTTCTTGGGTTAACACCTAACTATAACTCGAGATACTTTAATGGGAAACTACCAATCTTACAATGGAGGAACTCCGCAACCATGTTTTCAAAGTCATCACCAGTATTAATTCTCAATACACAACTTTTATGAAAGTTAATTTTCATACCTGACATTAATTTAAAGCTACGCAATACTGCTTTCAAAGTCCACAAGTTCTGAATCGAAGCCTCTCCCATAATCAATGTGTCATCTGCAAACTGCAGTAAAGAAATATCCGGTCCCTCTATCCCAATCTTTACACCAGAGAACAACCCACAAGCCACTATCTTCCGCATAAGAACTCCTAACCCTTCCGCCGCCACAAGAAAAAGAAAAGGGGCAAAAGGATCCCTCTGTTTTAGGCCCCGCTCAATATGAACCTCCAATGTAGGACAACCATTAATCGAAGCTGATAGGCTACCCCCACACACACAAGCTTCTATCCAACTGACCCATTTCTCTGAAAATTCAAAGCTACGTAACATAAATAAAAGATATCCCCACTCGACCGAATCATAAGCCTTCTCATAATCAAGCTTTAACACAAAACATCTCTTGTTATACCTCCACACATAATCAACAGCTTCATTAGCCACAAGTACACTATCTAACATGTTCATTCCCAGGATAAAGGCTGATTGTTCTTCTGAAATTATTGAATTCAAAACCCCTTTTAACCTATTTGCCAAAAGCTTGGAAACAATCTTATAAAGATAACCTAACAATGAGATAGGCCGAAAATCAGATATATGTTGTGGGCAAGACACTTTTGGCATAAGTGCTACAAAGTAGGATAACAAAGACCTAGGTAGTT